ACACACACACACACACACACACAGAGAAAGCGAAAGTGAGAGAGGGCACAAGAGCAGGAGACAGTAGCAACTGCAGGGTAAGATGATACAGACTAATGGGGAGGCTATGTTTAAAAAAGTCACAAGAGATGGCCTCTCTAAGGTAAGCAGAAGCCTTAATGAAAAGAAGCCAAATGAATGTCAGGAGGAAAAGCATTCCAGCTAGAGAAAGAGTAAATACAAATGCTTTGAGGAGAGCTTGGCATATTCCGGAAATACAGTGAAGGATATGGAGTAAATGATCCCTAATAACTCTTCCCATTTGAAATACCTGAGTCTATGAGCAATAAAATAAGTTGGATGATGCTTTTCAACTCTAAAAGTGTTCTGCTATGTACCAGAAACTTAGGGGAAAACTTAATTGTTCAAAATGAAGTCAGTGATATTTCGAAAAGCAAAATATTTGCTTTTGTTGACATTAAATGACATTTTATTGATTCCTTTAAAAAGTAACTTCTAAATCTATATTTTAACTAACATATACACACATAAGTCTTACAGCAGATAGCAAAACAGATTTAAGTACTAGACAATATGTTCAATTCGTTCAAGTGATTTGATCATAAAAATTATTAAAACTTACTTGTGTATGGATAGATGAAACAGCAACAACTTCCACATTAAAAACACCTTTGTGATTATCTACCCATTTCATGCCAGGTAGAGGAACCTATAAGATATTAAATATAATGGTCACAGATACTTAAGTTGATTATGAATTCTGAAAACAAATAAAAAACTTACAATATCTCAATGAGAAAAAAAAACAGTGAAAAATATATTTATGCACTGTAAATAAAAGTAAAACTTATATTGTTATTATAAAATCAATGTTTCCTACAAAAAGCAGAAAATACACACTCAAAATTCTATCTTTCCAGTGACATATCCCTTTATATCATTCCAAATCTTCCTTTATAAAAATATATTTTTACACACATAGGTAATATCAAACATACTATTTTGAAACCTGTTTTTCATGTATTACATTGTGAATCTCTTTTCATGTGAATAAATTCACATTTACAATGTTATTTTAATGGTTTATAATATTCTATTTTCTCTATTTTAAACACTCTTATTATGTTCTAGTTGGGCTTTAGAGTATTCACAAGCAAAGGAAGTCCGTTGTTTTAGAGATGAGAAAACATTTTTTTTTCTGATGTAAAAGGCTAGGAATGTTAATTAAAATTATATCATAGAAACTTATTTTTAAAAGAGAGTACATCAGCTCTTTCTATCCCTCCTGCTAAGTACTGCTAAAAAAAAAACCCTGGACATGATACATAAAATAAAGACAAAGGTGGATAGGAAAATGCAGATGGCATAGGTAACCTCAAAATGGGAGAAACTATAAAGTAGTGTTTCCTGGGTATTACTTTTGTCTTGTATATCCTGCACTAGGTGCTAGAAAGGCTGGTAACCCATACATGCCAAAAGGAGCGGACAAAAAAAGCTCCAAGAAAAGCCCTCTCTCTTTAGTCAAAGCCAGTAATTGCCCTACTGCAGTCAAACACAAAGAAACAAATTGTAGCCTCACCCCACCTCCACAGGCTGAGTGGGGAGCCTGGGTTTCCACCCTCAGTTGGCTGTAATAAGGTGCCTAATCCCCACCCCTCCCCACACACACTGGGTGGTATCAGAGAAGACAGAGAGCCCAGCCCCAATGGTAAGAAGTACCCCACCACTGTACCATGAGTGGAGGCCAAGAGGAATGCAGTAACACGTGCCCTCTCTCTCTCACAGCCAGGGGGGTGTCAGCTGAGGCCTATCAAGGAGCCTGAAATCCCACCTCCACCAATAACAAGCCCCCACCCCAATCCAATGCAGAGTGAGGAATGTGGGCCTTTACCTCCACCTGGCAACAGCCCCTCCCCTCACTGCTAAAATATAACACTTAAATAAGATCTAGAGTCATAATAACCCAAACGTTCAGGATATAATAAAGAATCACGCATCATACCAGAACCAGGAAAACCTCAAATAAGAAAAAGACAACAAATACCAATACTAAGGTGACACACATGTTGGACAGATTTGACAGGATTTTAAAGCAGCCATCATAAAAAATAACTTCAACAAGCTATTATGAATATCCCTGAAACAAATGACAAAAAATACAAAGTCTTGGCAAAAAAATCACGAGTTAAAAAGTTAAAAAAGGTATTTCTTCTCCATTGTTTCATATTTTTATGTATAGAAAAGAAAACCAAATAAAGTCAGTTTTCTGTTACAAAATTCAACATAAATAGGTAAGAAATGCAATATCTCTACTGAGGCAAATAAGAGGTTTGGAAACATTTTTTTTTTTAAGCTGGTGAATTAAAACTACTCAAAGCAAGAAATTGGCGTTACAACAAACCGTCCAGGTAATTTTGATGCTTGTTAAAATAAGAGCTGCTGTCTTAAAATATTCTAACAAGCAGTGTGGTAATAGAAATGACATAATAGTAGCAAATGCTACTTTAACACTTTCTATGTGCCTGGCACCATTCTAAATGCTCTGCATGCTATTATGTCATTCAATCATCAACATAATCCTTTAATATAAGCATTAATTATTCTCCTTAATGTACAGATGAGAAAATTCAGGCACAGAGAAAATATCTTAGTCAGCTCCAGATGCTATTATAAAACACCATACGCTGGGTGGCTTAAACAACAGAAATTTATTTTCTTACAGTCTGGCGGCTGGAAGTCCAAGATCAAGGTACCAACATGGTCAGTGTATGGTGAGATCCTCTTCCTAGCTGGCAGATAGCCACCTTCTCACTGTGTCCTCACAAGTCAGAGAACAAGCTCTCTGGAATCTCTTATAACTAATTCTATCATGAGGCCCCATCCTCATTACCTCATCTAAACCTAATTACCTCCCAAAGGTCAAATCACCAAATACTATCTATCAAAAGCAGGAGTCAGGGCTTCAACATATGAATTTGGGAGAGGACATAATTCAGTCCTTAGCAGAGAGATTAAGAAATTTACCCAAGGTTACACAATTATAAATGGGAGAACCAAGAGTGAAACCCTCAAAATTATGCTATGCTGCCTTCCAAAAGTATAGGTTTAAAAAGCAACAGCAAAAACGTTCACAATACCACACCCCTTCAAGCATTAACTTTGCTAAATTTGGTGTATATTTTCCAAACTATTTCCTAAACAATTATTAATATATACCTACATACTGAGTTGGGTTGTCACTATATTGTTTGTTTTTATCATAAATATCCTATTGGGGTATTTAAATCTATGTCACTTCTCTTAGCTACTGTACCATTGTATGTATGTACAAAAATCTAATTAAACATTAAATTCTTGGTCAATATCCAGGTAATTTCCATGCTTCATTTTTGGCTAATAGCAATAATTCTGTGATTATTTTTTCTATTTAATTCATACAACAAATATTTACTGAAGTCTCTACATAGTTTTCTAGAGACTGGGGTTTCATAGTAAACATAAGGTCTGCTCTTAGGGAGCTTACCAACCATATAGTGGGGCTAGAGAAAAACAAGTGAAAAAAAATGATAATTTCAGATAATGGTAATTATTAAGTAAATAAGATTGGATTAAAATGATAGAATATATCAGCAGTGTGGAGATGGGAAGGGTTGAAAATTCATGAAGTAAGGAAAGACCTCTCTGAGGAGGTACAATTTAGATAATGAAAAGATAATGAAGATCAGAAAAATTCAAAGGCCTAAAGGCAGGAAAAAGTTGGAAGAAGCTGTAAATACAGAGAGAAGTGGGGAGGTTATGGTAGAAGAGGATGTTGGAGAAGTGGATGAGCCCAGATCATTCAGAGATCTGTAGCTCACAGGGAGAAAAATCTGGATTATATTTTAAGGATAATGAAAGGCCAGGTGAATATTTAATTTTGATCATGAAGAAACACTCAATCTTGGTAATATGAATCTGAATGCAAAAAGCAAGTCCCAAAGGATTATATATAGCATAATAATTTTTGGTTACATTTGTAAACTAAGTAAAAAACTGTATTCTATATATATATATATATATATATATATATATATATATAATCTCAACCAAAATGTTTTTAGAAGCTAGTTGTCAAAACAATGTGAATATACTTAATGGCACAGAACTGTTCACTTTTTAAGATAGTACATTTTGTTATGTATATCTCACATAAGTACGAAGGGCCTAAGGTGGAAACATGCATTTCATGTGTGGGGACCAGCAAAGGTTTGTGCTACATGGCTAGGGCAGAGTGAGTGACAGAGAATAGTGAGAAAGTCAGAGCAGAAACATTATAACGCTTTTTTTTTTTCCAAGTAAAAACAATACAAATTTATTTATGAATATTTTTCGAGCTCTATTCTGAAAATAAATGCCACTAGGACAACATTCACATTACATATTTCAGTTTAACATTTACAAATAGTTATGGTCAAAGCATTAAGAGACATTGATAATAATCATGTAATAGTTCTCTCAAAAAACACTTTGGTTTTTCAACAGTGGCTACTGATTCTTGATTGAGATTTTTCCAATGTTTTTGTTTCTTTCAAGTCATGCCATCATCAAAGCTGCTAATGTCTCTTTTATTGCATGTTTATAGCTACATTATTTTCACATATATGATCACCAATTCCCAAAGATTCTAAAAAATTAATTTATATCTGTTCTCCTCCCTCCACCCTGTTAGGGAAACGTTCTCTACTAAAAGAAAGAAATATTCATTTATTTAAAGAAGCTTATCATGTTACAACATAAAAATTCTCCAAGTTTATCTTTTCTTTGAGTTTATATTTCACCTGTATTATTTTGATTTTGAAATGAATATACCTATATTTTTAAAAATAGTATAAAAGCTTATAAGTATTCTGTAGAGTAATTTTAATTATAGGAGAAAATAATATTATTACTTCATTATCTACATACTTATAGACAGAATAACAAGGTCTTGTTTGAGAAAAACTCCTTTGTAATGAAAAACCCATTTCATTCAATCTGGAGATATCGATGTGAAAGATACTAACCTCAGGAGACAGCACAGAATAAGCCTGCGGTGGCTTTTCCAGCGAGACTGGTAGGCAAAACTGCCCAGTCTTTAATCGTCCATTTTGAAGCATTGGTATCCACTTTTAAAGAAAACGGAAACAATATGCATTTAAATATGTCTATTACATGAGCAATTACTTAGAAAATCTGTTTTAAGAACTTGATATGAGCCATTTGTCTCATCTCCAAACTCTAAGCAGATTTAATTATCTAATTATGTACCTTCATAATTCCTCTAAAGTTTTCCCAACGATATTTTATTAAGGATGATCTCAAAACATTATTATGAGTAACTATGCAATATTTAAATCTGTAGGGGTTTCTTATTAGCCAAGGGAAAGTTGACAGTAGAAAGTTGGTAGCCACAAAGTATATAAATTTTAAACTGGGGTAACAGTGCCAATATAAACAGGGAAAGATTTGATTAGATATGAATGTTGAAAACAAAATTTAAAAGTATGAACATTAAATTTTCTTAATTTAGCAAAATTGATGTCACAAACTACAAGAGACATAAAAAACAAATCAAATGTTGATTTTTGGATGGAGGCATGATTTTTCTGACAAAATTGTGACAGCACGTTATGATGTACTTCACCTTAGGTTTACCTTTGCAATTCAATCATGATTTTCAAAAACTCAAGGGTTTTAATCGCCTTTAGTTAAAACAAAAATGTATATATTTCATTGCCAAGGGTCTCTTTTAATCATTTTACATTCAAACAATTTTCTTCTGAAGAACCTTAAAACTGTTACATTTATACTGTAGCAGTGGGTAAACACAAATAATCAGGAACAACACCCTAAGTCTTTACACATGTTAGTTAGTAAGTTAGTTAGTTAGTTACATTAACGAGCATTTTCTTGACTCGTGCTAAGTTATCTGTGGAATCAGATAAATAAATAAATATATATATCAACTATATCTTAAACATTGTAATTATTTTTAAGATCAAAAAACTAAATATTTAGCAAAAATATACTTACTGTATATCCAACAGGAGTTTCAAGAGGGGTATTTTGCTTTTGTTGACAACTAACATGATAAAAAGTAAAAAGCAAATGATGGTGGTCAGTTAAAGTAGCAGGGAGTTTAACCTTGATTTCTTCATGAAAATCAGGAGACCTTCGTACAAAAAACAAAACAAAACAAAACAAAAAACAGATCAATAGTCAATAAACTTTTCAAAATAATTATTGCAGTTGTATATTTGAGTAATTTTTAAATTAATTTCAGGATTCATGCTTAATTTTTCTTCTAGTTCAAATATTTTCTTTATTCCCAAATTCTAAGTAACTAATTCCTACTTCCAGACGAGGGAGCTGCCACTGTTTCTGAAATTTCTCGTCCAATTTTTATTAATGGGCTGAGTAATCCTACTATTTGGATATTCATTAATAATCACCACCTTGATGCTGAGATCTTCATTAGTTTAGAAACTGTATAAAAAAAGGAGACTAGGACAAGGCTTTCTATATTTATAAACTAATTCTAATACACATTACATTGAAAAAATAATATGAATTTTTGTAAGTGTATATTTTAAAACCATACCATAGAAAAATGTTTTACTATTATAGGAGTACAGCTTCAAATGAAAGTAATCTGCATTATCCTTTTGTGAAAACAAGAAAAAAGGTATCTTTAGACAACTTAGTATCAAGTTGGGCTCTCTATGAAATGTCTTACATCAATTATCCCATTGCTAAAGAAATAAATAATGTTACCAAAATATAAACTAGTGTATTGACTAACAGCTAAAAGCAAAGAAAAATATCAGGGAACACCCACAAATTACATTTGTCTCACAGTTTAGAAGTACTTCCAGCCACTGTAAGAATACAACAAATATCATATTTGATCAAACCAATGGCATCTGCATCTCAATATTCACTGAATGTGGTCCCCAGGAGTATTTTTATAGGAAAGCCTGGCTGCTATTAATGCTATAGAATTAAAAGGGATAGAACCTTAGCATCCCAACCTTCCATATTCAATTAGTATCTCTCAGAGTTATATTCAATGAAAATACATCAAAACCATACAGCTCCAACAACCTTTAAGGTAAAGACTGTCCCACTACTTAGGGCTTTTTCTCTGATGCTAATTGGTCAAATATTCTTCCATCACAAATAAGCCTCAAAAACACTAACGGGTATAGATTTGGTCACAAAAATAGTAAATGGAATGAGGCTTTCAATATGCACAAGAAAGGTGCTAATACTAGCTGAGAATTTGATAACTTTTGTGAATAAAAGATGGTATACATCTTATTACTCATCTCACTAGTCATCACTGAATTATAAGAAAGCTGAATTTACTAGCAATGTTAGACAATACTGTCATTTAAATTCTACTAATCCTGGGAGCAACAAAAATAAAGAGTTAAGCACAAACTGAGAAATTTTAGAACTTACTACCTTCTTTATCAATATCTTTCCTGGTATTGAGTGTTTTCGTTCATTTCTTTCCTCAAATCATATTATATGAAGACTGTTATGGAAAATTAAACATCTACCAGTTATTCATCAACAAGTGAATTGCCCACCTTTATGCTAAGCATTATATTATTTTTGTGGTGGTTTCAAAGATGAACATAAAAAAAATTACTCTCAAAAATATTTAATTTAGTAGAAAGATAAATAAACCACACATATAACAATAGCTATGCTATAACGCAGGGGTTGGCAAACGATGACCCACAGGCCAAATCCAATCTACTGACTGGTTTAGTACAGCCTACAAATTAAGAATGGTTTTTATATTTTAAATGGCTGAAAAAAATTGAAAGATGAATATTTCACTTGAAATATTAAATATAATTCTAATTTCAGTATCAATAAATAAAATTATATTGGAAGACAGCCATGCCCATTCATTGGCAACTTTAATTATTGACTACAGCTGCTTTTACACCATAAAAGCAGGGCTGAGTAACTGCATCAGAGATCATATGGCCCACAAGACCTAATATATGCTATCTGGCCTTCGTGGAAAAAGTCTGCCAGCCTCTGACATAGAGCATAGAAGGTTAGGTGCTTAAAGAACAGAGTTGAACAGATTACTTAAAAATTTAGATCAGGGAATTGTATTTAGGAGGAAACACATAATATGGGCCTTAAAGAATGAGTAAAAGTTAAATAAGTAAAGGGATTGTAATAGAAGAAAAGATCCAAGAAAGACCCAGAAACAGGACAGCAAAGAATATGCTTGGTAATGAGGCAAAAAGAAAACCATCAAGATGTAAAAGATGATTGGCTATCAGAGGAAAAAAGAAGGAAGGCAAGAACGTCTTAAATTTTTAGTCAGAGTAACTGGAAAAATGGTGCCATTAATTAAAATAAATAGTCAAACAGAGATAGGGTCCAGAAGGCCAGGGATAAATACATGGAAAGTGAGAAGACAGCAGGGAACCCGAATGAATATGCCCAACAGGCCACTGAAAATATATGTCTGTTCCTCAGAAAGGTTGTGACTGAAAATAAGAGTTGTGAACAATCCACATAAAAGTAAAAGTAGTAGCATTTTCATTGAATGCAATTGTGAGAAATACAGACAAGTATAAGACTATTTAGGAAGAGAGTACTATACAAAAAGAGGGTGAAGGGCAAAACCTTAGTGTTTTGTGTGGAATGTCTATACTTAAAAGAAAAAGAGAAATTAGAATATTTACTACAGAAGAAAAAAGGTGTTCAAAGAGATAGAAGGAAATTGAGAGAGGGACATAAATAAAGGTAAGAAAGAAGAAAGTTCTAAGGAGGGCAAGGAAAAACCATGCTACACAACAGCACTGCAGAAATTCTTTCATTTGTGTTTAAGAATAGGAAACTTAAGTTTCTTTTTCACAATAACAGATGGAGCCATTGAAATAGAAAACTTGAGATACAAGAGAAGGGGTAAATGATGGAGTTATATTCTGGAAGAAGCTGGATAAGACTGAGAGCAGAGATGAAGATTCACACTGAGCAGGGCGTGGGCCATTACTACCTTTGAACCAGAAGGAAAGGCAGATCAGTACAAAGATAATTTGAGATGAAAAGTAGAGAAGTTGATGGAGCTCAAGGTGGATGGTCTCAATCAACTTTAGGACAGCTAAAAGTAAAGCAAAGAGAAAAGAAGTAGGAGCTGGAAGAAGGGAGGAGAAAGGCTTAAAATAGCTTCTGCCAAATGACAGAGAGAGGGTAAAAAAGTGATGACAAAAAGATTACCAAAGAGTGGTGGGGCCAAAAGAAGATAAAATAAAATAAAATGAATTAGTGTAGCCCCATCATATTAGCACAATTTTGTGATTTTTTTTTCCTCCAACAGCATTCAATTAAAAAAGAACAAAAACAGATTTAAAGGTTATCCAAAGTTAATGATTTCCCAAAGAAGTAAAATGGAAAGGCACTAAGTCAAAGGATTACTAGACATTAAGAATACCACAAATTTAACTAAGGGGTTCAAGCTTAGTAAAGAGAAAAGTAAAGCTACAAAGTGTTAGGGGAATATAATAGGGAAAGACCAAAGGGCCAGAAGCCACAATGATAACCAATAACAATATAATAAAAATGAAAGGATCAGAGAATTTGATAGAAAGGATGTTTTGTGTATAAAGTCTTATAATTTGAGATGTCTATGGAAAATGTGCATCTGCAGGTTGAAAATTATAACTCTAATGTCAGCTGTCTTGAATTTGCACATTCAGTGCAGCAAAGCATTCTGTAAACACACTAACGTGAGTGCTAACAATGCCACTGAGAAGTGAGTAACTTTGAAAGAAATATTTGAATTCAGTACCTGTTATGATATACTACGGCTGTATAGGCTTCCTTTGAAAATTCTGAACAGCTAGATTTACCAAAGATTACCTGTAACAAATAACAGCATGTTGAAACTTTGTTGTAATAAATGCTGGATGTTTCATATCTATGTAAGAATTTGTCTGATTTAATAACTATTTGAGAACAATGGGCAAAACCAGCCCAATGAAGAACTATGTGCCTACTGACAATCATTAATAAGTTCAATTGCTTAATTCTAAATTTCTTTTCAACTATAGACTCATCTGACATTCAAACATTCAAAAAGTTCTATCCATTATATTTATATCTATTGGGCAATAAGGTACATTTCTTTCCTTTTTATTAAAAAAAGGTGAAGAATTCATCTTAAATCTAGATGTAGCATATACTTTGGAATTTATATAAGAAATATGGTCCTACAATGGTGGCATATATCTACTATACGAATTAGTGGGTTCTCCCCAGAAATAGTAGTCATTCTGAAACTCAAATAGATATTATTTATAAGTAATATTTAAAAATCTTATTTTAGGTCAAGCTATGTATCCTTTGCTTCTAGCACTCCCTGCAAGCTATTCCACAATGGAGGAAGAGCTCCATTTTATATTCTTACATGTGTGTTAAAAAAAAAAATCCACCACATTAAAAAGGTTTAGAGGTAAAATAATCTAGTCTCATGTATTTGCCTCTTGAATTCTAACAGCAAACTATGGTTAATTAAGGTAGCTGATTAGATCAATGGCTTAATGATGTCAAGGTCATAGCTATGATTCTGATGTTAGACAGTTAGGCTTGCAATGTTATCTAGCCATAGATTAAACTCTTACATTTGGCCAGCCATCTCTACATATGTAAGAATAGGTATGTGGACATGTCATTACACTTCCATTAACACAACTGGTAAAACAACTCAAAGTTTATTCCTCATACAAAGGGATTAATTGGCACCATCCCAAAATAAAAAACAACAACAACATATTAACAGGTATTTTGTCTCTTTTGGCAACATCTCAAGAGGTCCATTTATTTTAAGGGTATGTAAAAGTGTAATAATTATGACTCTCCTAGATAACTCTAATTTCATCAATTTGCTAAGAATACCTTACTATGTGTTTATAAAATGTTGTTCCAATGCCAGATTTACGAAGTTTATTATCATATCAACATTATATAATCAAAAAATTATGTTAGGACCCCTTTTGAATAGTCCTTATTTAAAAAAAGATAAACAAGCAAAATGAGTCTATGTTTATACACTTTCAAACCAGCCACTCACATAAACATAAAAGCACTATATTTTTCATATGACCAACAATACACAAATAAAAGAGTGTAGTACCTCTTTTTCCCTCTGAGTAGCTATTTCACAAAATAACTCATTTATTTTCTTAACATGAATGCTATAAGTGGAAAGTGTTCCTTTTCTGACCATTAGACATGTATTTTTAATTATTCGTCAACATGGACTAAGCATCAATTACATGCCAAGTGCTACGTAGGATAGGCATCAAGATATAGGTAATGAGACATGGTCCCTGCCCTCAAGGAGCTCACAGTCTAGTGGGCAAGCTGAAGAAACCACCATATAATCATACAGTGATAAGGCCCATCAAAGAAATGAGACGATGCTGTGGTAGCACCAAAGGAGGGCGTGGTCTGACCGCCAATGTGGCTGGGTGCAGCTGGGGCCATATATCCGCTGAGGCAAGGAAGAGCTTATTAGGAACCAATAAAACAGATTATTTTACATATACTACATCTGTCATAAGCTCAAATTCATATTGCAATTCATGTATAGGATAACAAAGCATCTATTTTCACAATCCAGTATCTTTTCATCAATTATGATAGTATATTCATTCCTTCAGCAGAAATGGTGAACTAGTAAAGAGCATGAAATGCTAATTCAAACCTCAAAAATAAATTCAACATTTATTCAACAAATATTTATTCAACATGTATTTTTTGCAAGGATCTGAAATAGCTGCCATAGAAGAATACAAAGATGAATAATTTGTGCTTGCTGCTGTCAAAATCTATAAATGCTGATGAAACTGAGGCAACAGAAGAAAATATACAGCTTTCCTAGTAAGTAGAAAATCAGAACTGAACTCAAATGACACAGAAGGCTAAAATAAAACTGTTAGCAATGCACCTATTCTTAGCTCATTTTTATGCCACCATGGTTGTCAGAGGTTGAACATCTACAGTGGCAGTTGTGCTACTATTCCATATGTTACTAACTTCAAGTTGAGCCAGAAATCTGCTCTCATGGAACTTGCATTTATAAGTGTCCTACGAATCTTAAATCACAATTTGGGCAGTCACGAATCTCCCGTCTGGCCTCAATCTACTATTTCTGACTTATCTTCCATTGCTCTGGCTCACTGGCAACTCACGGTACCTCTGTTGAAGGACATTCCCCAACTTGAATTGCTTTCCTCCCCCCACCATCTAGACCTATTGCTATTAACATTTTAACCGTCTTTAAGGCCCTCTCTCCTACCACTGAATACCTATGCCTTTGATTCACTATACCATCTTCTAATAATTAGCACATACCTTGGTTCTCAATATTGGCTACAAAATGTAATCCCTTGAAAAGAATTAATACTACTGATACCTTCCTGGTTCCCACACCCAGAGATTACAATTTAATTGGAATGACATTCAGTCTGGGCACTGGTATGTTTAAAAGCTGACCAGATAAGTATAAAATGCAGGTAAGGTTGAGAACTATTGCCAGAGTTTCTCAGCAAAGTCGGAAAGAATCATACATATTAGAATCATGTGGGGAGCATTTTCAAACTATACCATAACCCACTACATTTCACCTCCCTTACTTGGCCTTTCATTCTAAAGGAGGAGAATCAGAATCACAGATGCCAAGGTAGAGAAAAAGTACCTATGCTTTGTTAGAGCACCCTAGTTAATTCTGATCTGACCCTCTTTTGAAAGTCACTATTTTAGAATTTTATGTACAATATTTGTCTTATATCCTCCAGATTACAAGTCTTATTCATCTTTGTATCTCTGGGAGTGCCCAGCATATATCAAATCCTCAATAAATAAGACTTCAAGTAAACTTATTACTTTCTGTACAGGAAGTAATGCAGTTAGAAATGTGGTTTACAAGATCACAATAACTTCCAGTGTAGCACTATCAACCAAGTGATAGTGCAAAAAATGTCTATTTGGACCATATATGAAGAATAGGAAAAGTAAAGAACATTTCTTACCGGCATGGCATTGCTCGAATCCTCCCCATACATAAACTGAACTTTCACTGTTATATTTCTGGCAGAACCTTGACGATTGGCAAAATTGAGACTCTGAGGGTATATGTAGAGAAGATTTCTGTGAAGGCAATAGTATACACAATAGTGAATACGTATCTTAGAAACACTATGTATCACTACATGCCACAAAAGAGATAGGTGAACAATACTGAATTATTAACATTTGCTGGCCATTATGTTAAGTATTTTCACAATGTTTTATTTGCTCCTTAATCATTCAAACAGATAACAATCAAATGTATCCCAATTTTGCAGATTAATTGAGGCCCAGAAAAGTTAAGTGATTATCATATACAACCAAGTAAATGGCAAAGCTGAAATCAGAATACAGATCAGTGAGACTTCCAAACACATGTTCATTCTTCTACAAGAGGCCTTCCGGAAATAAATCTTTTGGGAAATAAGTGAGTATGGACTGAAACATTATTAAGAAATTAAAAGACAGTTCTAATATTATCTTAGTTCCTCCAAGCAGATAAAAATAGGGTGATATTTATAAGTGCGGCTTTTGTATAAATGTGATCAAGGATTTAAGAAGTATACTATTCCACATTATTATCCAAAAACATGTACAACAATATGGTAGATATAACAGTATTAGTTAGATACTATGAGACAATCACAGATTACTTTCCATTTGACTTCATGTCCAGTTTATGATCTCGCACCTTACACAAGTTTAATAGTCCATGCTGCCAACACAGAGGAGAAATAACTCAAGAAATAATTCAATACAGAGGAGAAATAATTTACCAAAAGAAAGAGCTTAAAAAAAAAAAGAATGGGAGTTATTTTACCTGAAGACTAGTGTTGAGAACTGATAAACAAAACTTTGAGTATAATAAAACTTTGCCAAACAACTGCTAGGGCAATGAAAATAGGTCTAAACTTTCTGGAAGATGGTAGGGCAATACAGAAATTTTAACTAAACACACGCTTTGACCCAAGAAATTTACCTCTAGTCTAAAAGAAAACGGCACACATGTACAAATGGGTGTGTTCAAAGAAATTCACTACAACATTTTTCATAATAGGAAATAATTACAAATAATTAAAAAGAAATATAATGCTCATCAGTACTAGATTAGTTAATTAAGATATATTAATAAGAAGGAATACTATGTAGTCCCCCAAATGACAATGTACAGCAGTATTTATTCATGTAGAAAGAGATATCCAACACGTTAGATGAAAAAAAGGAGGATGTATAGTGGCATTATCATAGTAACAGAAATTGGGGGAGTGGGAAAAAGAATGGAAAAGGATATTTTAGAAATGTTCATTATGGTAAATAGCGATGGCTCTAGTTTCTTTTTTATACTTTTTTTGTTTGTATTTTTTTTACAGTGAGAATATATGATCTTTATCACTAGAAAAAGCAATAAAGTAGTTTCAATCCTGGGAGGATGGGTGTGTATGACAATAAGCATACAAGCTGAAAGTCACTAGAGAAATGGAGAAGTCAGTTGTACTCAAAATGGTCAAAAGTGCAAAGGGCAAATATGGAAAGGTTATGATTCCTAAAAAAGAACTAAAGATCAAAAATGACAATGACAGACTAACCAATGAAGTCATCAAATAAAATCTGCACAGGAGATGCTTATTGACTGTGCACCGAATGTCATTGTGTTGCAAATCAGGGAAATAAATGAAGATTAAGAAGCCATCCTCTGGTCTTGAGGAACAACATACGATCTACTGGGACAGAAATGCCTATAACAGACCATTTCAAAACAATGTAGTGTTATGAGAGGTATGCAAAGGCTATACGAGTCTATGGGAGGAAGAGATAGGTACTTAGTAGACTGTGGGGAAGTCTTTTCATCTTGTACTTTTTCAATATATTTTTTTAAGAAACTGGATTATTTTCATGTAGATTTTCCCAGAGGCTAGATTGTATTGATCACATGCCTGTAGTGACATTTAACATGTTCCTCTGTTTTCTGTAAAGTGAGAGTTGGATCTAGAGTCATGGTCATACTTAGGTTCAAATTTTTTTGGCAAGATCACTTCAAAAATTGTATGGTGTCCTTGTATCAGGAGGAAAATGTTTGGCTGTTGTTTCTCTTTTTCCGCAATTAGTAGACAATCGTGATCAATTCTCTTAAATCCATTAACTCAGTAAGGGTTGCCAAAAAGTACTATTCTAACATTCCTTCTTTATTTAATAGCTGGAATATCTCTATGAAGAGCACTTTTCCTCATCTACTATTTGCTTAACCAGTGAGCCATCGTATGAGAGGCAGGAATAAATACTTCTTTTCCATTACTTGCCAGTTTTCAAAATAATCAGTTGGTGCATTACAATCCTCTAAAATAGGGATCAATTAAGGCTCTCTTTTAACATCACATAAATTCATGGAACAAATATATGAACAGATTTCAATACATTGCAGTTATTATCTTTACCGGTCTTTATTGGTGTTCAAATTGTCCCATCTTTGGCAAATGCAAAAGCCAATTCAAACTGGCTCAAAAGTTCTTTTGAGTCAATCATAACAGTCTTTGATTGCTTCTTGCTATCTGTTACGACAAAATATTCCAGGTTCTTGTACAGTTTCTCCCCAGACCTGGAGTTAGCCGTTTCTTCAAGGAGCTGTGGTTCTTTGAATGAGAAATGTTTTTCCAAGCCACAGTCTAGTCTTTCATTGCGGATTAGTCATTGTTTCCAGGTCATTTAAGTAGAAAAAATTAGGGGGAAATGCTTTTAACATGAAATACATCCTGAGTTCATATTGTTATTTCAAATTCACGACTATAAGGTTTTTATTAAACTTTTCAATCTTACATCTATATATCATTTTTCCCATGCTGAGAATCATTCTCAAGGACATCAACTATGAGAGAATTAGAATGTCACTTAGTTACTCATGTGTATTATTCCAAGAATCGGGTCTTAAGGAACTCCAAGATTCTGTAGTCAGCCAGAGGAGGATGAGTCTGCAAAGAAGACTGAGAAGGCACTCACAGAGAAAGCAGAAGGAAAACCATGAGTGTGCAGTGACATCAAAGCCAAGCGAAGAAAATATAAGAATTAAATAGTTAAGTGTCAAAAGCTACTCAGGGGCCAATGAGGTAAGAATTGAAAACTTTTGGATTTAGCAACATGAAAGTCACTGATAAATTTCAGGCTGAAAACAGATAAAGTATAGTTCAAGAGCACGTAGAGGGTAAGAAAATGAAGTAAGTAAAATTCTGAAAAGTGTAGCTGTGAAGGGGAGAAAATTAATGCAATAGTTGGAGACAAAATACGGGGATTTGGGGGAGTTTTTTAAGGTAGAAAAAGTTTGAGTTTGATTAAATCCTAATGAAGAGAATCCATTTGACACAGACTTTGTATATACTAGAACAAGAATGTAAAAATCCTGAAAAGGTGAGACAGAAGAGGATCCAAGGCACATAACAAACAGATTGACCCTTAATTATGTTTATAATTCCTCACTGTAACATTTACCAAGTATGCAATATGCTAGATACTGAGAATATAATAATAAAAGACTTGAAGTTCTTGACTTCATAGAACTCATGGTCTAAAGGGAGAATCAGACAAGTAAATAATTATAATTTAGTATAAGTGCTATAGGGCCGGGCGAGTGGCTCAGTTGGTTAAGAGCTCGCTCAAGAGTTTGAGCTCTGAGCAACAGCGGTTCGAGTCCTGGCCTGAGCTGAGCAGCCGCTGAGCTGCCAACAGGTGGCAGGATGGCTCAGCTTATATAAAAAAAATAATAAATTTTTTAAAAAAAGTGCTATGAACATAGAATGTTACTAGAGCCCACAAGAGGACTTGAGACTAAAGAATCTACCTACAAATTTCAATGAGAAATTTACAAGTAGGGTAGACACACAAAATACACAAAAAAGCAAAACACATCATGCTTTCCCCCACTCCTCAGAATCTCTGCATTGGGATTACTGTTGTCTTAGCTTTGAGGACATGAACATGACTGGCCTCTTCCCGTCTTTCGAGTCTCACAAAGCCTTACCTTTACCTCCCCACCACCATCACATCACTCTGTTATTCCATTTACAACTCTTAAACAATCTTCTAGGGATAATCCTAAATTATCTCGTTCATTTATGTATTGTTTATATATCTCCTTTAATAAAGCCCAAACTCCATGACAGCAAGGACCTTACCTATCTAGTTAACTGCTATATTTCCAATGCCTAAAATACAGTGCCTCATGTTGAATGAATAAATGAATGAATGAATGAATGAATGAAGTACAGAATGCACACAAAAATTTAATTACTTAACACTTCTGGGAGTTTGGATTCCCGGTTAAATGGGAATTAGTTGAACATTATTTATAAGCTATGCTTGCTTTTCAATATTAGTAATACAATTTTAAATTCAACTTGTGTCTGAAGGTGAACGACATGCAACTGAGTCCAGATTCTTTTCCATTTGACTAACTCCACTAATAAATTCCCACATAACCCTATCAAGTGTTTATCTTGCAGTTATATACTCCTTCAGAAGAAATATAAATCAGCAGAGCAACGGTAGGTTAATGAAGTGTTGAGATAGCCAGCTTGCCACTTAGGGAGGAAAGCTGAATCCATATTTTAGCCCCTCCTCAAAATAAATTCCAGATTAATCAAAGGCTTAAATAATAAAAATAAAACCATAAAAATATTATAAAACTTTAAAAAGACCATATTTTATAGGTGAGGGAGGTATTTCTGAGCATGAGCTACAAAAATCATAAAAGACAAATTTGAAAGCCTCTACAGAGCAGGTGATAGGAGGAAGACAAATAACGCATTAGAAAAATACTGTTGCACAACCTGGGGGAGGATAAGGGACTTTGCTTTGCTTGAAATTCAAACAAGGCCCCTAAATGTCTTAAACTTCTCTATAACTAAAAAGTTTTGTATATTATTTCTTAGAAACTAAGATTCCTTAGATTAGGGCCTAATTTTGCTTAGCTTCTTATTTTCTTTGGCATAAAAAAAATTTAATTTTTACAACACTACTGGTTATATTTGATCAGGGTTCTATTTAAATAGGCACAACTTCAAACAAAGATTAGATTCTGCCTTTAACAATGTGTACT